GTACAGCCATATCCATCCATCCATCCATCCATCCATCCAACCTACAAGGAAAAAAGTAACAAGTAACTTGATACCACCCGTTACTGACAACCTTTATCGCATGTACGTTACCCGTTACAGTTCTAGAATTGTATCGAGTATGCTAATAAAGGGTCCCTAAACGCCGAATGGGTGAAATTTAGTATTGGTGAGGAAGTTGTGCTCGAGTTTACAATGAACACGTAGCCATGAGAATTTTTCGAAACGGTGCCGTAATAGTGGAGTTGCACACATTAGATGATCGAAACGCAACGACCACTTCTTTCCATCTTTCCTGCGCTACCCTATTCCAAAACCGCTTGGCCCCTCCTCGCTGAGTCAGCTGTGTGTCACTCCTCATCTTGCGTGGCCTACGTCATCACTGACGCACTGCTCGAGACAGCGTCTACTTCCTGTTGCCGCGATCCACCGCGATCAACGCATTAACTCGCCGTCAAATGTGTTATGTGTGTCATCGGGTTGCACTAATCGTTGACCAACCGCTGTTGCTGTCGTGCCGGCACATCCCCCTACGCCAGCGACTTGCTGGTTGCGTTACGGGCTGTCGCGGATGTCGATTCGCAAGCGGCAACACGACCAAGAACAGCAAGGTGCGCCCGAACAGCTGCTTGCAGAGTGACCGGAAGTCGTCGGTGGTCGTTCGGCCAATCGCAAGCATCGAAAATGGTAACGTCATTGAGTTTCACTGGTGATCTCACACATGTCAGTGGCGGGAATGGCAGAGACTGGAAAGAAGAAGCTATCGTTTTTTTTTTTTTCGAAATTGTGGCGTGCCTGCTACCCGTAGCACTGCGGCGTGCGGCATCGTTGATCGCGAGGGAATTCTGCTCGCTATGCGCTTGTTTATTAGAAATGTTTTGGAAAAGATCGGAGGGGACAAAGGGGCCCTTGAAGTTACCAAAAAAAGTAGCGCGTTACCGGTAGCGGCGTTACTTGTAACGCGCGTTGCCGCTAACGCTGCTTGTGAACATTTACAGTGCATTTTTCACTGTGGGATTACTACTGTATAGGGATGTGGGGTTGCACATAGAAGCTCATTTGTCACCAGCGTTTACGCTTCAAAAAAGAGCTCTCCACATTATACTGCCTAACATTACACACACTAAGAGAGAAGATTATTTTTAAAAATTGAACGTTCTCAATATTTACGATTTGGTGATATACAACATTACCTCACTCAAGCATCAAACAATCATGAAAAGCTCGTCATGACAACAGTCTCGCTTCGCCATTCACCTCGCATGGCTTGATGTAGACCACCTCCTCGTTTTATCTTGCCGAAGGTAAACACTAATCACGGTAGCTCTACAATAAACTTCGTAGGTCCATCTTCTTGGAATAAGCTTTAATGTAACATATTCACTACAACACGGACAAATACATTTATAAATATGTGAGAACACACCCTTATTGACAGTTTATTGCATACTTGCTCGCTGTTTCCTTTACGTTCTCTTATTCTCCCCAAAGATCGGTTTTAACATAACGTATTGCTGAGAAAATTTGCCATTCGTCTCTCATGTTCTTTTGTACTGTGTTAATTTGTTGTGCATCATTTAGACACTACTGTTTCCCTTTGATCTCATTACAAACTGTACTCTAACAGCTGCTATAAATGTTTTTTTTACTAAACACATCCAAGGTAAGGACCCTTCAACAAATCCATGGGGGCCCAAAAGTGTGTTTTTGTATGCAATGCATGCCTTATGGTAAATAAAAAAAGTATATCTGACGGCTTGACTAACTCTCAAACGTTTGGTGCATGACCTAAATTTATCCAAGTCGTGCGTGTTTTTTGCTTCATTATTGTACTTCATTTTCTTTTCTTACTGTTTATTGCATTTTCTTGCTTTATTGTTATTATTTGTTTTGCATGCATTGCCCCCCCCCCGGCCATGTTCTGTTTTAAGCATTCGGGCGGTGCTTTTTCAGGGGGGGGGGGGAAACGCCACAAGTTCCCTTTCTTTTTGTTTTCTTGTTGCCTTGTGCGTAGTACAAGTAGTAGTAGTAACTGATGCCTTGTGCGTAGTACACCCGAGTGACAGTGAACTATATAGATAATAGACAGTTATAGTATACCGGGCTTAGCGGACTTAACGTGATAGCGGTATTGAAGTGCGCATATGCAGATACGTACGTTACCCTACCGCTTACCATACGTGCGCAATTTTTCAGATTTAACGTTACCATGTTAGCGTGATAAACGTAAACATGGCGACGCTTTCAGACACCCGCTTAGAAGTGATTTTAGCGTAGTTGTTGAAAGATTAACTTTGATCGAAGCAACCGACTGTTTAAAATGGCTTCGCTTGCCTTCAGTTAGCTTCGATGACCAGTATGACGGATAAGCTAGCGTAATTTTCGAGATAGCTTCCCATTTCGAAGTCTCTAGGCCTATCTAAAAATAATTGTGAACAAATCGGCAACATAAATGCTTTCACGTTTGGTGTGTGGTTCATATTTATTTACTTTCATGATTACATAAATTAACCTGTTAACAATGCTTCGCGTGGTGACACAGGCAAGGATTCTCGTTTTCTTCTCCTTTTCACTGTTCTTCAACTTATGAAACCTCCAATAGGCGGCGCCACCATCTCAGCTGGGGCACGTGAACCGTTTAAAGGCGATCCCACTACACTATAAGACGCTGTGCGCAACTAACGTTAGCTGCACGGTAACGCCATCCCTTAACCTCTACTGTCCCGCTAACTGTACGCTATAAATGTCTAATTTTGAAACCTTCCGGTGAGATTACGCAAACAACGCGTACATTAGTGTTAGTTCAGGACCTTATGCAGCCGCTATAGTGATAATGATAGAATTTCAAACCAACGCTTCCTCTATTTTATACCAACCAGATGCACCAAATCCACAAAAAAATACGTCCCCCACCACCTTGTCCTCAAGCTCTTTTCTGCTCTCGCCCATCACACAGCCTTCGCGTGTGCTGTAGGAGAGGACCCCTCATGCAGTGCCTCATGACGGAAATCATAAAATAAATCTTTTGTTTAGTTGTGTGAAGATCCATGCGGTGGCGTCTCGCATTCCTCGGGCTCACCATGTTGGCGGTCACGCTAGCTCTATAAAATATATGGCGTTTCAAGATAGCATGTCGCCGTTCATTGTGATATGCAGCAGGCCAAGGTAAGGTTATGGTTGCTCATAGTAAGGTTCCGTTTCGCGTTGCATACCCAAGTTGCCAGGTTTTGGGGTGGTTGTTGCCAGACTGTTATAAGGTTTGGTGAAGACATTTCTCCTTGTAGCTGCGGCTTCTCCGTGAGGGTTTGGTTTCGTCCGAAGTGTATTTCGCAAGTGCGTGAGCGACGTTGGCCGTTTAATTAACGGAATGAACGTAAAATGTGCGTTGCAAAAGTAGGGGCGCGATTAAGAGATCGTGTCTCAGAGTTGGGGACATCCGCAGCTTGCAAAAATGCTGTCATAGGCACCGGACAGTTGATGACGCCATTTTTCCTGAAGGACCCGCGGCAACTCGGAGGAACGTGCAACGAATTTTGTTGGTCTTCCTGTGAGACACTGGGCTGTCTGACACGTGGTGACAATTTCCAAATTCAGAAGATGCTCAGGCAGAACTAGTGCCGGCCATGCAGGCCAGGCGAACCCCACCTGCTGCAACACCACCACCACCACTACCAGCACCACCACCACCAGAGTTGGGGAATCAATGATGCGTCGTTCGCCAGGCGTACGAAGCCGTAGCATATCCGACGTACCACAATTATCCAGCCTTGGCACATTTACTCTTCATATGTAGACGAGTCCGATTGATATGTCTTGTGCTGACACAGCTAGCAGAAGCGTAGCGTCCCCGTCGTCGCGCGTGGTCGGCGCGGCATGACCAGCTGCGAAAAAAAGGGATGGGGCAGCGCACCACCTGCTGTGACTCCATTCCCCCGTCGTCCTAATTCTTAGAGCCGATCTCTTGATTGCACAGCTGCGCATACAGCAAAAGAACATGCTCCAACTTTTGCAACGCCTGGTTCATTCCGTTAATTACGTCGCCAACACACTCACAGACAAGTTCATCGCACTCGTGAAATGCACGGCGGATGTCGCGTCATTGATTCCCTAACTCTGAGACATGATCTCCTCAATGCGCAGCAAGCACATACAGCAAAGAACGTGCCCCGACTTCTGCAATGCTTCTTTCACGGTCATTCCGTAAATGAAACGGGCAACGCCGCTCACACACTCGCTAAATGCACCGCAGACGACACCAAACCCTCACTGCAGAAGCCACAGCTACAGAGACGAATTTCTCCGCGAAATCTGGCGGCACTCTGGCATCAACCACCCCAAAGTCTGGCAACTGGAGTATGAAACGCCAAACAAAACCTTGCCGCCAGCCAATGGCGAAGCTTCACTGCAACGCTTCTGCATGCGCAGCTCTATGATGCAGCGGCAGCATTGCTTCGAGCAACAAACAAAGGAACACGAAGGAACAAATTTCACAAACGTATCATATTGGAAGGCAAACCACGTCTATTGCACCTATGAGGCGAAACTCCGGGAAGCACGCGTTAGACAAGCTGCACTACCCATCATGTAGCGTCACACCATGACCACTCCCAGAACTGAGGCGGGCCGATGGTTCCCTTTAAAAAGCGCTCATTTGCACTGGCAATGAAAGAAATAAAGGAGGCGTTGCTTCGATGATACATATATAAAAGCCGAAGCGCTTGACCGCTTGTCGATTTGTCAGCAAACGCCGCTTTCTTCGCCGCCAACGGCACACAGTGCACATAGCTCACAGTGTAACTTTTGTTTTCCTGGCCACAAGTTTGGCCAAATAAAGAATTTCATTGTCGACACGTCGACTGCTTCCTTCGTTAACGTCAAAACCTCGTAGCAATATCATATAGCTACAAAAGTACAGTTCAGTTACATGAATACGAGTGAAGCCCCAATACTTTTTTGGCCTGTTTATTTTCGCTGTTGTGCAGAGAATCTTCTGACCCGGAGCATTCAATCCCTCCGCGGATCATGTGGCTGCACCAGAACCTGCCCTGGAGCCAGTTCATTTTCGCCGAGACGGTCGTGGTGGCCGCCATCACGGTGCTCGTGGTTGTGGGCACGCTGGTGGCACAGGCCGTACTCGGTTTCTATGTTCCTCCCTGCTCGGCGCCAGCCTGCGACCAGGCCATGACTTTGGCACGCAGCTTCCCAGCGCTTCGAGGTGCCCGCTTGCACCGGCTTCTACGAACACCTGTGCGGCGCCGGTGAAGCGTTGAGTGAATACTCCCGGCGCCAACCACTCGTGCACGCCATGTCCGCCACGCTACTTGATAAAGGCGCTGCGATCAGCAGTGACACTAAAAACAGAGATGCCTTGAACAAAGTGGCAGTATTCTACGTCAGCTGCTACAAGCACTTTGTACCTCCCTCGGAGCAGTCTGGCCTGCACCAGGATGTTACGAACATCTTGACCATCCTAAAGGTATCGGGGAACCTGGAGCCTTTAAGCTTTTGTGTGATTCCTGAAGGAGTCGCTTCGCCCCACGAGGACAGTATGAAAAAAGTCCAAATCTTGACAACACCTAACGTATTGGCTTATATCAGGCTTTCGTGGGTACTGTAGCTAATGCAGAAAGAGATTAGCACAAGCGACCGATTTTTTTGGCGGTGACCAGTACCTCGTGTGGTAAAGCAACCCCTATACACAGTAGAAAGCCTACCTAAAGAAGTGATGTACACATTCGAATGATTTCGCTAAATCGACAAATTAGCGAAAACAAGAAAAAAGTATTTTGGTTATTTGAATGAATAACATGTAACGCCGCTATGCCTAAAAGCTTATGCACGGAATTCCAATCAGACCAACATCTTCGATGCCACATCAAACGCGAATGCTGACCACTGGAAATCAACACGAGTGATGCAAAAATCATCTTGTTATGACGTCATCATAGCGTCACATGTAGCTATGCTTTGGAACGTCGTCGTGATGCCTTATGAGTGACGTCACATGCTGACATCATAACATGACTTGGTCGCTTGGAGAAAACTGTGGCCATCCAGGAGGCAGTGCGAAACCAAAGTGGTCCAGAAAGTTAGCAATGCGCGTGATCTTGAAGGAACTGAAAAACGTCGTTGGGTGCAGGCTCCGCCTGTAGGGGGAAGATGAGTAGATAGACTGAGAATGAAAACGAGATCCTTGCCGTCGTCCTATTTATTTTTATTAAATGACTAAGAAATGCATGAGCGACCCCACGTGTTTGTTGTTAAGTCCACGCGTACTGTCAGACGGTAGCTCCGACATTGAGTCCCCCACTGCACCTTTATATGAGATGCTGCATGCAAGGGCAACGTGGGCGAGGTAGATGGTCAAGTGTTGACACGTTGCCGGTGTGCAAAGGTGCACAAAACAAGTAGAGTGAGTGCGCGAACAGACCAAGCAAGCAAGTGGTGAAGACATGACCAGTGCCATCTGTGCTATGAAGAACAGATTGCTTCTAGAAAGAACATTCGATCCAAAATTTCTTGATGAATGACTTGGTGAAATAGGTCTTCACTATTTTGAAGTTTTTCTGCTGGAGCGCTGAGTGGCCAAGCTGTGCAAGGGTGAAGAAGACAAAGACGATGAACCCTACGATTCAAAGATCTACTCTACGATTCACATTAACAGCGTTGCGCTGTTATTTTCTCTACAGTCCCTATCCTGTGACAAACTGGTGAAACTGTGGGGTAATTTATGCATCAGACCAAGCAGTGTAGTAAGAGCTCAAGCGTGCTACCTGTAGTGAGGCCAGCAGTCGGGTGAAGAACATCTTTATTTCAGTTGGGTTCGTGTTATATGAAGAAAAGCGTGGCGGCGTGTCTCATAATCATATGGTGGTTTCGGGACGTTAAACCACACATATTAATAAAAGAAAAGCAAGACGTAACATGTCACGAGATTATGGGTGATATTTGATGGTTGCAGATCCAGCCATCTTCTTTAATTGTAGAAGAAATTAATTATGCCTTTCAGGCTGCGGCTATCGATAGGGCTAGTGGTGATCTCTGGTGCTTCGGATGAAGCTCCTAAAAAATTCGTCCTCTCTGGGGCCTTCTTCGCTGTGGGTTGTCCTGTCGTGCAGGTGCTCTCTTGTGCGCTTGAATTCTCGACCATCTGTTCTCAGGATCACTGACCGGGGCGTGCTGGCTGGCTTCAGAAGAACCGTCGGCGACCATGTTCGATGGAGGGTGTCATACGTGGACACTGGCTGGCCTGGAGACAGTGTCGGTAGATCCTTTGTTCCATGGTTTTAACAGACCTTCTGGCGTCGACCGATCGCTTGAAGCCTGCTGTGAGCGGCTTTGCTTGTAACTATCTCTGGTTCTATGTAGCTGTGACACAGGCAGCAGGGTCCTGGTTTGTCGTTCCATGAGTCTCTGTAAAGGGGATTTTATACACATCAACTCGGGGGGCGTCGCACCTTTTTAGCAACGCCATATAAAGATCAGTCCAGTTGCGCGAACATTTCTTTAGAAGCTTCCTAGCTTTTTATACAGAACTTTCCGTCATATTATTGACGTGGGGGTGATAAGGGCTTATTGTAATATGGGTAACGCCTAGTTTTAACAAGAACTTTTTGAAAAGCTGGCTCTCGAATTGCGGGTTATCACTGCAGAGCTTCAACGGTAAGCCATGTGTGGCGAACAAATCTGTGCCCCTTAACGTCAGAGCGCTGGCAGTGCTCTCTCAGAATTCACGGATTTCAAAAAAGAATGAAGTCCACAATTATGGAAAATTCATGGCCTTCATGAAAAAACAAGTCCATGTCAACAAACGTCCATGGCAGCTTTGGGATGTCGTGGCTGTGAAGAGACAATTTGGCGTTCCGCAGTTAATACTTCTGACTGACCGTGCAATTTTTACAAAATTTTTCTATTTCAAGCGGCATATTTGACCAGTACAATATGTTGCTTGCCCAGCGCCTTCACCTTTTTAACTCCCGGGGGCGCAACGTGAAGCAGAAGCATAATTTCTTGTTTCTGTGAAGTTAGTATAATTACCTTGTTGCTGCGAAAAACCTGACCTGTGTGTGCAGCTCCTCCATGTAGGACAAGCACTGAAGAACACTGTCGAGCACTGCGCTATTTTCAGGCCAGCTTGTTTCCGCGTAACCTCGAAGTTTGACCATGACAGGATCTTCATTCGCGGCAGCACGAAGATCCCTCCGGTGTTACTGCAAAGATAAAATGTGTTCAAGCGTATTTGCTTGAAATTGCTCCGTTTCTTCTTGCATGAGCTGTTCGCTGGGAAACCTAGATAAGGCGTCAGCTAGAAAGAGTTCCTTTCCTGGATCGCAGATAGATGTGGTGAGATATCGTTGCAAAGTCAAACGCATGCGCTATAAGCGAAGCGGACATTGATAAAGCGGTTTGCTGAATATCAGCACCAACGGGTGGTGATCGGTCTCAACGATCACGATTTCTTAGCCGAAGATGTAATCATGAAACTTGACGCAACCATGCACAATTGCCAATCTTTCCTTTTCAATTGAGCGTAGCGTTGCTGCGCCTCTGTTAGTGAACGTGACGAGTAATGCGACGAGACGGCCGTCTTGAATCAGCACCGCGCCAACTTCCATTTGATTGATTTATATGTGAAGTTCAACGTCCCAAAACCACCATATGATTATGAGATATGCCGTAGTGGAGGGCTCCGGAAATTTCGACCACCTGGGGTTCTTTAACGTGCACCGAACTCTGAGCACACGGGCCTACAACATTTCCGCCTCCATCGAAAATGCAGCCACTGCAGCCGGAATTCGATCCTGCGACCTGCGGGTCAGCAGCCGAGTACGCCAACTTCCATTTGACTGGCGTTGACCGAGAGGGTTATGGCCTTATTTGTGACAAGGGAAGCAAGAACGGGTGCCTTTTCTGAGCTTTCACGCAACATTTCATAACCTCGCTGCTGAGAGTCAGTCCAAACCCATGAAATGTCTTTGTGCAGCAATGCTCTTAGTGGGGTGGTCACGTTGGGCACGTTAGGAATGAAGCGTAAAATTTCTTGAAGATAGGGTCAGTTAATGATCCAAATAATTGCCAAAGCTTGTTCTTGATCACCTATTGACTGTGGCCCATACTCACTTCACGCATAATTCTTCACTGTCGTCAGCCACTCCAGAACATTCTTATAGCAAGTGTGTAGCGGATGGCACGCTTCTCTGAAGAATGATGAAGGATAGCATAGTGTACACCAGCCCTCCGGTATTGAAAAAGGTATTGCTTTACTCCTAGCATAAGCAAACTAGCTGTAACTAGTCCCGTTATCTAGGAAGGCAATCGCACAACTAATTCCAAGGGACAACGTGTCAGCCCCCCGAACTGCACCGTGAAAGCATAGAAAATTATATTTGGTCCTATTCGGCGCACAAGCGGACGCCGGCTGTGGTCCATAGAACAAGTCAAAGCGGAAAACAAAAAATATATTCTCAAATATGGCAGGTCAAACAATACACATTTATGCAGTCTCGGCAATAGTCCAATACAATATGTCACCACACAAGCAACGGGTTACACAACACAACCTACTACACTCAAAACAATCGACACAAACAACAACACGTGCTACAATGCAATCTTATGTAATAAACTACCAAGACACTTAAAGACAAAAAGTTTGTCCACTTATACAGTCCAAAGATCTTGGAACGAAGTTTGAATGATACTCTGTGAAGAATCACTCCTTCAAAGCGCAGCGCTGTTATCGTTTCGCTGCCCCGGAAGTTTCCCTTCCAGAAAACCTCGCATCTTCATTTTCCGCACTCCAAAAATCAAATTGCTGCGCCGGTAACACCTTGGCTTCTCGCGCGCTGCGGCTGCAGGAGGCGTCTTTGCTCAGTGGTGGTAGACACACAACTTTATTCTGCTTGTAGCTTTTTCGAGCCTTCACCCCTCAGGTTGGAATCCTCATCATTTCAACTGCCTTGTCACAAAGGACAAAAGCCTTCGCCCGACACGGCGGAAAGAACCTACCCGCACTGGCACAAAACCTACCCGCACTGGTGCAAAACTTATTTATCTCCTGATCACCCTACCAGAGACCCTACTCCACTACTCTCTTAAATACCTTCGCGCTAGGTTCCAGAAAATTGTTCAGCGCGTTGCACCCCCAAGGCCGGGGGAAACGAGAACACTTTACGAGAACAATCTGCAACAAGTGACGCAACTCTGCATCACCACGCCCTTTCCTTCGAGATTTTTCCAGCGATCTCTCGATGACCTATGTGAAGAGGTTGGTTGCGTAGCAGAGCTTCCGAGGGGAGAAAGACGGCACGCTCGAGAAGTCTTTTGATGCTTGTTTTCTTCCTTTTCGGGAGTGACAGTGTGGCGCCTTGTATCGTCGGTGTCACCAGAAATCGGTGGCGCGTGCTTTCTTGAGGGCTCGTTTGTGACACCAGCACCCGCATAAGCGTGAAGTTGGCGTTCCCTAAAGTCAATCTTTTTTACATACCTAAGCGCGCTTGCGAGTGGACGCGCGAGTGGCGAGTTCTATCAGTGTTGCAACTGATCTACCTAAAGGTAGCATATACCATGGCATATACAGTAACTCTGTCCAATATCAGACTGCAGCGCCACTAGTTCTCGCCACCGCCGTTCGGCCCATCCTCCTCCACTGTCGGAGATACACAGCTTTGAAACTGAGATTATTCTAGTAACGTTGGAACAGACAGATGGACGTACAGACAGCTGTACAGACATACATACAGACGGACAGATAAACGGAGAGACCAAATGATGAACAAATAGACACACAGATAACAGACAGACAGACAGACAGACAGACAGACAGACAGACAGACAGACAGACAGACAGACAGACAGACAGACAGACAGACAGACAGACAGACAGGAGGACGACAGGCAGGCAGACAGACACGGAAAGAGAGACGCACGAATAGACGGACATACAGACGCACAGACAGTTACAGATGGAGGGACAGACAGGCAGAGAGATAGAAGACACGTACACACAGACGCACTGACAAGCTGAATGATGGACACATAGACACAGAGATAACAGACAGACACGCATTGACAGACAGACAGACAGACAGACAGACAGACAGACAGACAAACAGACAGACAGACAGACAGACAGAAAGACAGAAGGACAGCAGGCAGGCAGGCAGGCAGACAGACAGACAGACAGACAGACAGACAGACAGACAGACAGACAAACATGCACACAGACCGACAGACAGACACGAAAGGGAGACACGCGAATAGATGGACATACAGACGGACAGACAGTTACAGATGAAGGGACAGACAGACAGACACAGAGAGAGAGACATGCACAGACAAATGCATTTACAGGCTGACAGACATACGGACCGACCGACACACGGACACACGAACAGACAAGCTGAAACACGCACAGACCATACAGATACACAGACGGACAGACAGACACATGGACAGACGAACAGACAGGCCGACAGATGGGCATACGGACAGATGACAAGACAAACACACGCACAGACGGACGGATGGAAGGACAGACAGACAGACAGACAGACAGACAGACAGACAGACAGACAGACAGACAGACAGACAGACAGACAGACAGACAGACAGACAGACAGACAGACAGACAGACAGACAGACAGACAGATGGAGAGACAGACGGACACTTCAACAGGCAGACAGACACACGGACAGACATACAGATGTACGGAGAAGCAGACAGATGGACAGATGGACAGAGAGACTGACACATGGGCAGTTTGACAGACACACGGACAGACAGACAGACAAAGAGACCAGCAGACAGACAGTCAGACAGACAGCCAAACGAACGCTTGGCCCTACTCATTTCCATTCACTCCGTGGACATGCTGTGATTTTTAAGGGCAAAGCTCCTCTTAGTCTAAACAGACTAGCTGACACACAGACAGACCATACAGACACACAGACGGCCAGACAAACAGGCGGACAGATGGGCAGACAGACTGACAGATAGACAGATGACCAGGCAGATGAACAGATAGATAGACAGACGCACAGACAGACAGATGAACGGACAGACATACAGACGTACGCACAGACAGTCGGAAGAACAGGCAGACAGCTAGACGGACAAACAGACCTCAGACAGACAGACAGACAGACAGACAGACAGACAGACAGACAGACAGACAGACAGACAGACGGGCAGAGAGACAGACAGATCAGACACACTGACAGGTGGGCGGACTGGACACACGGAATAACAGACAGACAGGCACACGCACATATGAACAGACAGACAAAGAGACACATGGACAGACGGACAGACAGATAGACAGGTAGACACACGGACAGATGGACAGATAGACAGACACTTGGACAGACAGACGGACGGACAGATGCCTCGCCCCACTCTTCATCATTCACTCCGTGGATATGCTGCGATGCGTGCTCTGCAGTATGCAATTTGGCTGAGCGCTGGATTGTGACTGAAGCCCTTCGCGTAACTGGTGCATGCCCACCAGATTTCCCAGGATACCTTAATCTCGATCCTCGTCCATATGGACGCAGTTCGCCCGAACTTCCCCATATTGAACAAGTAGCGCTCTCCACCGCACGTGGCGTGACAGCTCGTACAGGAGGAGATAGCCTTGTTAAAGAGTATGCGGACCAGGATCGACTTACTGGATGCAATGAACTGACCAAGGCGTTCTACCTGGCCCGGCGATGCTATCTCCTGTCTTATGGCAATTTATGCAGGAACCAAGCAGGTACTTGGCGACAGCTGCAAATGAATACTTTTCTTATTCCGCTGCTATATCACTGACTATACCCTGAGATCTATAGCACCAACTTTTACTTTCAGCTTTCAGCTTTTTTAGCACCAACTTTCACTTTATTCATATGCTATGTAAATGTGAGGCTAAAGCGAAACTTATTCGTCCTGGTGTTTTTGCGGTGAGGTCGCATTTCGGAGCTCGAAGTTCGCCGACTTATTCTAGGCAGTCCAGCACGCCCGTCAAGCAGCGGAGAGGCAAGGCTTTCATGTCCCGACATGGAGTACCTGAACCCGGGTCATTAGTATGCAGGAACAATTAATAAAGTTTCTCCATTCACCCATTCATTTGATGTGTTACGCTAGTTACCCAAAAAACTGTGGACCACCTTTTTGTTTTCTTATTGCTGACCACACACCACATTTTCATTCACGTGCAATTCACTATGTGCTATAAGTATCTCATATTTTTTTCTCTTCATTTTTTATATGGACCCCTTCACTGTACTGTAGTGTCTGAGCACGGAGTCGATGCTTCATTGGGAGCAGGAATAATGCCACCTGGTGTTCTGAGCTGGCAAGTCGAAAAGGGCGGAGACAAGCGAGGGCCCTTCGATCATAATTGGCGTTAGTGTTTTGCCTTCCTTTTGTTCTTGTCTCTAGAGCGCCTAGCGCGTGACAGTGTATTTTCTAGGAAAAGGCGAAGTAAACGTAGAGAAGGAATCGTAAATACACAGCCCTGAAGGTATGTTTTACTGATGTAGATTTCTTGGCATTTCTACGTTGTTTATTTCCCCTGAAAATTCGGAAGTGCTTATCTCTTCAGTAAACTCTCTAACGTTCGAACGAGCGCAATCGGCACAGGTTCGCTACAAAGGCGAACACGGGCACAAAACCGCTTGCTGTATTGTTTTATCCATGTTTGCTTGTCCAACCTTCTTTTATAATGGACACTGAGGTTACGCAGGTAAGCCACATATTTTGGCTCGTGTTGCGCATGCCGTGCTAAGACATAAGACAGCCTTGAAATAATTGGTGAGCACAGCTGAAGAAATCAGAACTGTGGACCTGGAAAATTGGAATTTATCAACGTGGTCCGACTTCAACTGCATCGTTATTGTATATCTGTTACTCTGCGTGCATGTGCAAACTGCCTCTAACATATTTTTTCGCTTTATAAAACTGCTAATAGTTTGCATACGCGTAATGTAATTTGTTCCTTTTTCGTTCCCACACATTCCCTTCAGTCACGCTGGCAAGACATCACTCAGCGTGCCATGAACGCTACATCAACGCTGAAGTTCATGTTACGCCTAATCATCACGTACCACATCGACCTGGGACTGAAGATACGCCTCAGCAAAGGCAGCATGTACCTCAGTGCCGGTGAATCGCTGCGCGACCGTCTCGGTCTGCCAGCGCGACAGCTAGAGTCGATGCTGAGTGCGTCGATAAACGCCAGCGCTGCCACCATCACGCCGGCGCAGCTGACTCAGTTTTTGATCCTTGACGAGTCTCTCACTAATTCCTTGAGTGGTGACGAAGATGCTAGCGCGCTCCCACCGGACCAACTGTTTCTCCAGATCTACCCGAAGTCTCGCGATGCTTGGGTCGAAGCCTTGGCGGACGCTCCACATATGGTCAAGTCCCTCGAGCCATCCAAGCTCGTGCACGTAAAGGGCATGTCCTTTCTGCACACCTTTACTCACCTCGTCTTCGAGACTTCAAGCCGCATGACGCGCTCTCTGTGGCTACTGGCACATGCTCTCCTGCCTGCCCTGGAGGCCGACGTAGTGCGACAGACGCCACCGGAGCTTCGAGTGGACGCCGTTGTGTCTTTCTGTTACCGCCAAAGCCGCCAGTCGCAGTATGGTATCGCCTTGGATTCCTTCCTCTGGACGTTGGCGGTTGGTTCTCAGAGCTTGCCGTTAGCTGTGACCACGACGCAGGACTTGCTGCGATCTCAAGGCGGCGCTGTTGGCGCAGAGGTTGCTCCGAGGTGGCCTGCTGCTCCAGGCCATGGAGGTAGGCATCGCTCGGCCAGAATATTTCGGAGCAATTATTATATGCCGTGCACGTACCCGATACTACATATGACATGAGCTCAGATGTTTTAGTACATCTGCCTGCCCTCAATGAAGTAACTACAAAGCAGAGATAAAAACATGGGACATGTATCTGCATGTTACACTGTAAATGTCGCCGAAAGACAATAGTCTTGCGTCTGGAGAGAGTGAACAAAATGTTTATTTGATGTTCCGCGCAAGAAAATCAGTGAATAGTATTCTGGAGGCGCTGCGTCAGAGGGCCTCGAACGTGCAGCGGAGGTGAACAAGCGCATCGAGTCACGTCACACGTGAGACATGAGCGCTATCTGGCAGTTATTTCGAAAAACGAAGCGTGTGGCGGGCACGCCCGTCTTAGAGGCGATAAGGTGTAAAACGTAAGGCGACAGGTAGGTGCCGCCACCGTGTCGTCTTAGCAAAGCGTTGGAAACACTTGCCTTCTCGTGCAAGCATTGCATTATCAGCGCAGCGTGATAAACGATGTGGTCCTTAAAATTATTTATGTATGGCTTTTTTAGCGTAAAGACACACATACAGAGTGTTGATGTGTTGTTATGGTGCCTCTTATATGCGGAATAATCGCTTTTCAATTGACAATCGCACAAGTTTGAACGCTAAAACTTGAGGAATATTGGTAGGTGCTGCGGATGTGGTCCGCGGTTTGGGGTATCGTTTGGTGTCGTTTAAGGTACCGTTAAGGGCAGACAAACAGACCATTGTCTTTCAAAAAAGCAAGCGCCCCATTTCGGTGTCCTCCAGCGAGCCCGATGCACTGTCCTATCGTATCGCTATTAATATTGTCCTAAACATGGTCTAAACATTACTGGATAACGTGTTTTAAATGAAGCTGATGACGGTGAATAAGTCTGCTTCAGCTCCCATCATTTTTATCTGGTCAATGAACATATGTATCAAGTGCAACATGTAGGAGCATCACCGCGAGTCTTGACAAAATAGGACAATCTAGAGCAGGTGAATGCTCGCTGTGTGCAGGGAAGCGAGTAAGCAGTTGTCGACATGTTGTCCCCAGTCGTTTACTCTGCTGGCTCCCGTTGTCGGCAAGCGGAAATATGGGGACAAGCCAGGCAAATAAAATACAGAAATCCGTTTCAATCGGGAAAACTGAGTGAACAGCTGAGCTGACCGGTGCAAAATCTCCTTTTGCATGCAGCTCCCTGAGTGATGTAAGTCCAGAGTTTTGCTGTAACATGTAGCGTTACCTAGACCAGTGTTTCTGGGCGTAAGCATCGTCAGTGGCCGCTCAAACAGCGCTTGGCAAACCACATGTTTAGCAACAAATTTTCTTGAAGCAAGAATTTTACTGCCGTGCGCAAATTCTCCAGGTCAGTTTCACGAGATTTCCTGTATGCAGCTTCTATTGAGCCAACACCGAGCAATAACGGGTGGCAGCCGCGACGGTCGCACACAACAGCATCCAATTACTGGATGACAACCTCTCTTGTTTTCGGTCTCTGCATGCAGCGATCCGCTGCAAACTAGCGCAAGGAAAGAATAGCGATCGCTGCAGTTCTCACTTATGCGCTAAATGCTGCTACAGTTCTGTGAGGCGTTACTGAGTGCGTAGCACAGCACCCAGCGATTCCGGTTCGCGAAGGTCCCACTGCTTTCCTTTTACGGCAATGCTCGAGAAAAGATTCCTTGGTTTGGCTAGAATGTTCGAAAGCTGGGTGTGCAACATGCGCTCAATTCATTTCCTGCGCTTTATTGAGAAACTGTCGTCTGCAGTGCTTTTCGAAAGGCTGTTTTCTCGTTCACATGTACAAAAGCAAGTGGGAGGAACAAGTGACGTGGTGGTGCCCTCTGGTGCTGCGCCCAAGTCAGCCGCAGTTTCCCGGGGTGTTTCCAGCGATTTCAAGCTAACTATTGTGATTTCCTCTGTTGATTATAGTATCTGTGATTCCATAATTATAAAAATACATGGTTACTTCTGTTAAATATAGTATTTTAGACCTTTTTCGTAGGTTTGAACGTGGTTTTAAGAAGTGGTAGTCTTGTAGGATGAGATCTATGGATGGACAACAAGCCTAAAGTGCTTGATAGTTGCGTGGTGTTCCTGAGCGTATCTTTAGACGGGAACACAAATGTGTTTCTTCCCGAGTGCGCCGAGCTTTCTTTCTCCCCTTCAAGTGGGGACTTCTTCTTTTGCTGTGGTAGATTCCTTTTTCCTAGGCCGCGGCACAGCGGAGTTCGCCGAGTGTTGCTAAGCCAACGTAGTGGCTGTGTAGGCATTTGCTAACCTAGCTAAAAAACGTAGCTGCATTTGGTTTCTACGGCAGTTGTTCGCACCGGTGTCAGTTTTAGTGGGGAAAAGCACGTTTTCAAATTGCTTTAGTTTACGCACTTACGAAGAGCTTTCGCGTAACTACGGTTGTCTCGCGTATAGAAGAAGCTCAATGAGAGAATTTGTAGCATAATTACTAGACCCCAGTTATCTTTCTGAGCTAAATATCAATAAATCTTCAGCATTCATTGATGTGGGATGAACGTATCTGCAAATGCAGCGCAGTCATATCCCAATTTGTTCTCTGCTGCGGTTTAAATGTGGCTTGGCAGCCGCTCTCATCGTCAGCCTCTTTGATACAATCGATAGAAAAAGTTTCAAACTACAAATCGTACCAAGTTGATAAACTATTTTCTGTCCATATGCTGTTTACCATTCCCGGTGTGAATTCAATGTCCCGAGTCATGTATGTGTTGAATAATATGCTTGAAAACGCTTCTTGAGGTTATGTAAGCATGAGCAGCTAATCTCTTGGGAGCGTTATAAGCAGATTCCTCTTGCTACTACGTGTGTACCTTAGCATATTGAAATAGGTGGCCATCGCAGGAAATCGAAGACATCGAAGTGGGGCTGTTTCTGGACCCCACGTCTCCGGACGAGGCCAGGTACCTCGAAAAGCTGTACAGAGAGCTCCCGATGCCGAGCCGCTCCGGCTACTACGTGAACCGGCTGCTACCCATCGCTGTGGCTCTGGACGGCTCACCGCTGTTGGAACGGCACTCGCGCTGCCTTGATGACGACGTGCTAAGCACAGCTGTAGCTGCGTACTCCCAGCGTGACCTGTGCGTGTCGCCCGCTCTAGTGTCGCAGCCACTATTCTACGCGGGAGCTGAGGCGTTCGTAAACTACCCCACGATGGGATTCCTGTTGGCCGAGCCGTACGCAGACGTCATCTTCCGGACGCTACGGAAGGCACCTCCTGGCACTGACACGTCGCGGCGCTTTACGGCCACCATGAGCTGCCTCCGGCGCCAGCTGGAGTCTCTGGGCAACACGACCGTGTCGGGTGACGCGAGACCAGCGGCGCTGTTCCGACTTGCAGGGGCGCTGCAGCTGGCACACGACGCGGTCGAAAACTCAGGCGGCTTCTCCGGAGGCGACTCGGAGCGGCGCGCTTTCTTCGAGCGCCAATGCTGGCTATGGTGCTCCCGGATGCTGCACAGCGCACGCTCATTGTCCGCAGTGCAGCTGGATGCCAAAGGCGTGTGCAACATTGTCGTCCGTAACGTTCTCGCCTTCTACCGCTGGCTTCCGATGTTACCCGGAAGACTACATGGGCAGCGTCGAGGTCTGCGCCGTCTTTGGAGTACCACCAGTCAAGGAGTGACTCCGCTAGCAGGAGACCTTCCACGCTCACTTATGAGCGTGTACATTATTATGAGACTGCATATACGCATTCGGAACGACTATCGTTCACCGTACGCAATGAGAACGTCTTTGCAGAGGCTGAGAGAAAAGACAATAAATGTTCTTTAATCGCCGAATGAAGATTGTTTCTCTACTGAAACTGATAGTAGTAAGGATAGCGAATCACGTGTTGGGCTTACTGCCCAATATCAAAGTAAACGTAGTTCATGTTGGCTAGTCTAGTAGCGCGGTGCTTATGAGCATGGTCAGTGAAGGACGCAACCCTTCTCTATACTGTTACGCGTAAATGGTGCTACATCCGGGATCATTGGCACTCTAAAACGGCTTACAGTAGAATGCGGGACTATAAATGAGCTTGATGATTGATATGTAGGGTTTAAAGTCTCAAAACCACCATATGATTATGAGAGACGCCGTACTGGAGGGCTCCGGAAATTTCGACCACCTGCGGTTCATTAACATGCACCCAAATCTGAACACATGGGCCTACAACATTTCCGCCTCCATCAAAAATGCAGCCGCCGCAGCCGGGATTTGAACCTGTGAGCTGCGGGTCAGCATCGGAGTACCTTAGCCACTAGACCACCGTGGTGGGGCATTATCAATAAGCTTATTAAACCAGTGCGTGGCATAAAGTGCCATTCTTGGCTCGTGGACAAGAAACGGTCACCACGCGACTAGGGAACCACCATATGCGCTTGCCGCCTTAGGCGGAGCACGCATGAAGGCTCCCTACTCACGACCGGTCAAGTATGGCGTCCTGAGGCGCTATCGTCTGACCAAAGGCTGAAACCAGTAGTAACGGCGCTAAAGTTGATTCACGTAGAAAACTTCGAGGCCCTTTCAGTGGGTTGAAAAGCAAATTTCTTTCTAAGCGCCTATTTTATTCACCCAAGGGTGAATGACATTAGGTCAGCGTTGATTCAATTTGTTGTGAGTTGTCAGTAAAATGTCGTCTGTCGTAAATAAACTATCATCGTTATCACGAGCCGGCTCGTTCCCTCCTCGCTCATTCCCAGCTTTTCACGCTATTGTGCTCCAGCAGTGCAAAACTCCTCAGGTGAGTATAATTTAGAGATGTTGAGGAAGCCCGACTGTCGTGTCCAGCAGATTTTAATGTCGAACCAACAAAGAAACTAATCAACCAGAAGGAGGCAGAAAAAAACAAACAAAATGAAAGGAAAAAAGAGAAAGAAAGAAATGGAAAGGAAGGAAAAAAGTGGTGATAAAAAAGAAAGCAGTTACAGAGAATAACAGAAACAAAAAAAAACGTTTACCAGGGAAGAGGGAAATTACAAAAGGGAAAGACAAGAGAAACAAAACAAAACACCCATTTGTTATAGAGTCAGAATAAAACGAAAGTAAAACGTTTCTCTAAGTATTATAATATTGTTACGAGAAGGAGACCTGACTCGGAATAGTAGACACAGATATAATTTCAGCTGGTTAAGAGAGCAGCGTCAGTCACTCAGATTATCTCGCGCCAGTCTATCCGCTTTGCCCTCCTCATCTCCATGGACTGGCACGTAGCATGACCCCCGGTGGCGGAGGCATCGTCCCGCTTCTTTATAACGCACACTAGTAGGGCTTCATCCGCTAGACGTGTACAATATTACTAGATCGCGCAGCATATGATGCTGGATAGATGGGGCTGATCTCATAGGTGACAGGTGTTACTTGACGCGATACGCGGTAAGGTCCCATGTAATTAGATAAAAGTTGTTCTGATAGGACCAACCGACGATGAGGGGACCAGAGTAAAACGAGGGTACTGGGAGCGAAATAGACGTCTCGATGTTGCGCTTCCTACAGACAACATATGTTGGTCTACGACGTCATCTGCTGAGCGTGGGCGAGCTGACGGGTATGATCGCCTCGGCAATCGCCTCGCGGGCATACTCGCTGGTAAACGAAGTGTGAGCTGAGATGACTGTGTCCAATGTTAAAGTCGGCTTTGTTCCGTACAATAAGTAGAACGGCGAAAAGTGTGCTGTGTTGTGACGGATTGAACATTCGCGGCCCAAGAAGACGCCGGGGTCTTTGAGGGCGGGAAGCGTCACGAAAGTTGTCACAGTCGCTGGGTTGGCAGGCTGTGCAGGAGGCCGGTCTACCGGAGAGGATCTAGGCCAGTCTGGAGTGGTCATGTTGAAAGCCGCGTGCGAGCGTCAGCTTCGGAGTTCCGTGGCGAGGACGGGGATCGCACCACTCCACCAAATATGTTACGAGAAGGAGAACGACTCGGAATAGTGGACACAGATATATTTTCAGCCAGTTAAGCGAGCAGCGCCAGTCACACAGATTAGTTCGCGCCAGTCTATCTGCTTTTTCCTCTCCATGCATCGGCACGTAGCAATATTTTTCGCAAGAAGCAATGCCAACTACCATCAGCAACAAAATCATGAGCCAAGAGTCATGCAACCAAAGAGACGTGACCCAGCGCGTCCTTGACATACTGGAGCACCAGCGGCCGAAAGCGGCGCCCCCACGAGTTTGACGCGAGTTGGTTGCTCCCCTTGGACGTTTGAGCACGCTAGAGTCTTGCTTTGATTCCTCTACCTTTTCACCCTTTATGCCTGATCGAGAATAAAGTTCTTTCACTTAACGTTGATATAAGCGAGCTTGTATAATGTCTATTAGCATTTGGCACCTATAGCATCGTTTACGTTGCTGCGTTGACGACAATACTTAGCAATACGTCGACGTCTTGACGGCTAACCTCCATTATTAAGGATTAAACAATTCCTTGTGGCCATAGACACTTGTGGTAGCTGTAGTAGTTAACGGTCAAAGTGACATCGGAAAACGTGCTGTGAGCGCCATAAGAGCGTCAGTGATTAGATACCGAATATGAGCTAAGGTGGCCTGCTGGTATATTAAGCACCACTGCCTGACTTGCGGAACGCTGCGCGTGTCTTGTCTTCCCCGTTGGCCGGTCACGATTTTTCACGCAGCGAGCACGCAGAGTTGCAGTCAGGCAAAGCAGGTGCGCGTTGCAGAGCTATTACTGGTATGAATGAGTGCTATGAAGGGAGCCGATGTTTTACGGCGCTTGCGCTAAGATTAAGATTACTTAGTGGTGTGTAAGGCGTTCATGAACTTGAACCGTTGCTGAAAACGTGCCAAATGAAACAGACGCGCTGAACCAAGGCGTTGTAAGAAGTATTCGTTGTCGTCACGGTCATGATTTATATTTTCACACTTCCAAGAGAACTGTGAGGGGAAGGTGTTATATATAATTTGCGCCATTTAAAAACCTACAGATTGCGTGACTTTGGTACAGTGGATAGCGTGCTATGCCTCTGTTTTCGCGAACCGAGAGGTCGTTGGTTGGACACCGCTCCACGCAGCTCTTTTACAGCGAAAGATGATACGAGATGAGAACTCGGGTCACGCACAGCGCCGTAGTTGTTCGCCGCCACCACCGATGTCCGTAACCACATCGGCCAAAATTAGAAGAAAAAAAACCTTGTACTGATGACACGTAAGGGCTCGAACCCGGGTCCGCTGGGTGCCAGCCTAGTATTCGACCACTTAGCCACGCCGGTGCTTGGAATTAATGGCAAACTTGCCTTAGCCAGGCTTGATGTCGGGAAAGCAAGCGCGTTAATAGAAATTATAAAGCGTTTTAAAACAGTGAAAGAACCACCAGGCGTCGCACAATGCGAATAGTGTAATGAGTGGGTTGTCGAATTCTCCAATCCACTACAAAAGCTTGTTTCTGATGACCCGATAACTGGGGCGCGTATATCCACTTCAGGCATAATTCCTCATCGTCGTCAGCCACCTGCATGAATAATTTGTACAAAATTCCTTGCAAGTAAGTGTTTAGTGGATGTCTCGCTTCTCAGAAAAATGACGAAAAATGGAATGCCGGCCTACTACCCAAAAAATTTCATTATTAATTTCGTAGTGGGTATCAAGCAAATGTGCTTGCAGCAGTTACCTGATGAGTATTTAAAAAAAGGCACTGAAAGGCCACTCTTCTTGCTGCCACTGTGACTTCGCTGTGCCTTCCGCGCAGGCCTGGCGTTTTTTATACTCTGGTCACGTGTATTTTTTTTTTCAACTTGACAACCTGTGACGGAAATACGTCACTAAAGTCATCGTGGACGCCAGCATAAAACACTTTAGCGTTAAAATTAGTGTCAAAGAGAGAAATGAAAAAGAACGGGAACAAAAAGTGTCTGATTCCCTTTTTAGTAACAAGGGTAACACGAAAGATTTGATTGAGCATTCATTAGTGCATAGTTTCACCACAAGGGTGAAGTAATGAACGCATGGTGATGCCACATGAAGAACGGCAAGCAGCTCGAAACTCGCAGCGCGCACATCAAGCTGAAAGCACGCTCTAAATGAGCATGCGCACTACAAGCGCGCACAAGCAACTGTCACGGCTAGGCACTTGCTCAAACACGCTGCTCAAGCAGAAAGACGCAGGAAACAAAGGCAAAGGACGAGCGTGGACAAATGTCCAAATTCGTACTTCGTGAGCCAAAAGCGTTCTCCTCCAGAAAAAGCGGCCGTGGGGGCGAGGTAAATGACCCTCATGCTCTCTTTAACCATTGTAACTTCAAAGCTAACTTGTTGTGGAAGCACACGAGGTACAAATTGCCCGAATCCTGACATGACTGCACGCACGAGTGAGCGACCACGTTAGAGAACAACTATACGAACTTTGACTATGCTTTAGGGAGGTGCACTGGCAAAGCAACGCGCAAGGTGCTACGGGCCGACAACATATAAAGCGCCCGCGCCCTACACTAAAGAAGTATAGGGGCTTTTACCCTACACACGCTCCTCGCGACATTTCTGTACTGATAACGAAAACGCGCAGAAGTTGCTGAGCTTTGAGGACCGCCAACAGTACATGATGTATATTGTTGCGTATTGCGCCGCCAAGGCACGGGCCACTGTCACCAGTGCTGGGTAGCACGTGTTTCTCAGCTCGCGGCTGCTTCTGCGCAGATCTGATGGACGGAGCGGACGAGACGGTGAGTTACGGCTACATTTATGTGCAACATAAATACGGGCGTTACATATTCAGCGCTAGGTCCGACTGCTTAGGGAGCTCGAATAGCCGGGATGTCTTCGGACGCTCTGACGCGCTGGTCTA